TTCTCTCAAACTGGCTCAGTAGCTAAGCTGCATTTTAGGACAGTGACACAGGTGAAGAGATGCTAACTTCCCTCCACGAGCACACATTGGTTTGCTACCCCTTCCATAGGAGATTTGCTACCCTGAGAACAAAGCCCTGCTTTCCTCAGATTCACTGAGACATTGTTTCAAACAAAAAGAAAAACTGTGGCAACCAGACAACAAGCTGGTTGGAGCTGATCAGACTTGCCAGGCAAAGTACACATCCCAGCCATAAACGCATTTCCAATTTTCAAGACAAAACCCACTTGCATCCAAAAACGTGCTGAACAGAACAGCAAGGGCAGCTGCCTAACAACAAACTTCTTGGAGGGAGATAAATGCATCTCCTACAGAGCTGCCACAGTCCTGCCATTACCTTAGGAGTGTGGGGGGTGTCACAGAGTTGCAGCTTTTTCCAAGTGATGTGCAGTGGTGTCTCAGGTTTACTCCAGCTCTTGCTCACAGATGGGGAAGACTTCAGGGTGGGACTCATCCAGGCTTTTGTCCTGCTCAGGAAAATCTCACTAAGCTTTCTCTGAGGGGTTGCTGGCATAGGACTGCTCTCTTGCCATTTCTGGAACTCTGAGGTTCTGGGGGGGCTCGAGCTCAGGGAGTCCTCCTCGTTTACACTTCTGTCTTCACTCTCTTCACCACAACTGGAAAAGTCCAGTCGCTGAATGAACTCATTGCTGTTGTCCCAGTCATCCATGTTAGCACATGAAATAGAACAGGTAGAGCTGATACTGGCCTGTTTTGTTAGAGGGACAGAGGGAGGAAAAGGCAGCATTATTTACAGATAAACAAACTATCTTCTTCCTTGTTTCATCAGGGCATCAGTTCTGCTGACCACACTCCTCAAACCCACATGCACAGAAACCTTGGTCATTCATCAGTGTAATTAGACAACATTGGTTAATGAATTACCAGGTACGAAGTCATTCAGCTACTGCTCATGACAACAGATTTTTTGCCTTATTTAAAAAACAAATTTTTTTTTGGTCTTATTGGCACAAGTCAGATACAACTCAGAAGCCACTGCCTTCCCCAGTAAGTTTCCAAGAGAACTCCTCCATCCACTACTCTTATCACACACAAAAAACCACAGCCTAAAGGATAACACACACAGCCTCCACTCACTCTTTTCTGCATTAAATTTCTCAACCAGAGAGGGAGAAACAAAATTCCATGCTACATACAGCTGTAAAAGCAGAGGGTGCCCCAAGGAGTCACCAGATACCCCACAGACAGCTTCTCTCCTACCCTGGACCATTTATAACCACACCACACCTGAGCCAATGCTAATGGGAATCATCTGGAGCTTGGCAGCACCTGCCCACAGTTGCTGCTGGATGAGGAATTCTCTCTGGATGTGGATCTGCAGTGCCAACACCCAGCTCTGCAGGGAGCCAGGGCTCCCTCTCAGTCTGAGTCATCTCCCTGCTCCTGCATGCTTATCCCTTCTCCAGCTTCCTGGAGCCTGTCTGCTCCATAATCCTAGCAGAGATCCAGTCTTTGTGGGCTTTACCTGTATGAATTATTTGTCTTATGATGATGGGGCCCTGTGTTTCCTTCTTTAAGTCTGAATTTTGCTTCCTGCATTTAGATATGTGTTAGTTTGGGCAAGCGTTGCAGCCTGCATGGAGAAGTCATTAGCCTAATTTGTAATGTATAGATTTATGAATGAATGTGTAATTTAGAAGACTTCAGGAGAGAGTTAGGAGCCATACACAGGTCTCCCTGGGAGCAAGTCAGTGTCTCCTCTCACTGCACCTCTGTTAAAAACAGGAATCTTCTGAGCCTTTGGGAACCTGTGTTTCAAAATGGGACTAGAGCAAGTTTTAACTAATTGGGAACAAGGTTACAGCAGCCTTTTTTCTTAGCCTTAAGGAGAGTGCTAGAAGGATGTGCAGAGACTGGAAGTGGCTGCAGCCCATTGGAGATGGGTGTTTGGCAAAAGCAGCACCTGCTTTCCTTTGCACACATCAAGGGCAATTCCCACCACAACACACAGGGCCACATTGCTCTGAGGTCTCTGTGCTCTCCTAATCCGTTCCTTAAATGAAAAGTATGGCCATATGGGTCTGAAATTGCTTCTTAAGACTGTACTGAACAGTTCATTTGATACAGAAATGAGTTGTATCCAATTCACCAAACAGCCTCAGGAGGACATGCCAGGAGCCCAGTACTGGCTGCATCTGGCCCAAAGGTTGCAGTATTTCTTGCAGGCACAGAGCTGTTGCTGCCATGCAGCCTCTCTTAGCCTGAAATGCAGCTGCTGCACCTCCCTGTGCCTTATCCTGAGCAAGCTCCAGAAGTCTGGCAGTGCCAGCACTGGCTGCTTTCTGCTGTGACAAGCTGTGTCTGCAACATCTGGCCAGATGAGGTCCAGGACCCCTTTAGTACTGCTGTGATCTGACTGCATTCATCAGATGTTCAGTACCTGAAGCATTACAGTGGAATATATTAATTCTGAAGAAATAATGCTTTTAGTCTCCATGACTACCTGTTTTTAATAATCCAGCAATGAAATTCCTTCAGACCAGTTTAAACTATCTCACTTTAAACAATTTTTAAACATTTTTTCCCCCTCAGGATTTAGAGGCAGTATCCATTTTTCCAAGGAGGGATGTGATATGTAAAGGAGAAAACTTGGACGTGCTGTGTAAAGAAGGCCCAGCTTGTTCATCTTGCATTTTTTAAATAAAAGCTCCCACACTTTTATTTACATTTTTCCTGACTGTTCTAAAACCTGATTACAATTTCCTGAGCCCTCAGCTGGAGGGAAAAGGTGTTCATTTTCTTTTGAAGTAGAGTTTTTATTTCTAGAAGGGTAACATTATCTTCCAGCCTAAATCTTTTCAATTTTGGTGAAATAATAAAACAGTAGAAAATGTGGCCTTTGTTTTTTGTATGTATCCAACAAAGAGTGTGCCCTCAGCAGGCCTGGATTGCTGGCCAAAGCCATATCAATTGCTCTGGTACCAGCAGGTCACTTGTCCCATGGGTTTTTTCAGCAAAGCTGGGAGCTCAGAGCATGATGGCATTTCACACATCTCAGAGCCACCACTGGCAGCCCCTGCTCTCTGTCACTGTTTGCTCTTCCCACTGCATCCCCTCCCTCATGCTGGGCAATTCTGGTGTGACTGCACTGCTGGGGGGGCCAGGAACAGCTCTGCACCACAAATAGCTCGTGTGGGTCGTGAAGAATTCTTATTTGGGGTTTGTTTCCTGCCTAGACTGCTGGAGGACAGACACTTGACATTTGTAGCAGCACTGCTGTGGAGAGGAAGATAGAAACGAGCTGTCACTTCAGCATCACCAACATGCAAAAATATATTCATCCAAATGAAGATTGGCACTGTCTGTACAGTTAAAGCCAAGCATGTGGCCAAGTATTTGCAGAATCTGGCTTTTCTTTACACAGTAACAAAATATTGTGCAAGGTTTGTTTCTTTTTTTCTTTACCAGTCACCTTCTATGAAAAACTCCATCTGCTAAAAACCACCTACTCTGGTCTATAGCTCTGCAAAGTAAACTTGGTGCATGGGCTTTGCAAAATACAATGCCCACTCAGTGTTGGAGCTGTCTGAAATGAAGCTCACAGCAAATGGATGCTAATGTTACAAAAAAAAAAAAATAAAAAACCCAAACCCCACTGCTGAGGAAACTGGATGATGGGTTTCTTAATGGGGTATTGAACACTCAGAACTGCTCAACAGGAAAAAAGTTAGACAATTAAAGCTTTTATGACAGCATCTTTCTTTTAATTGTGGTCTGCTTAATTGGGTAATTCAATTAATCAGAAAGACCAAGGGAACCAAATTAATCCTAATGACACTTAATGACATTGGTGGTAGCATAAGGAGGACAGTAATTACAAAAAGTTGGCTGCCTGTAGATGCCTTGGTCATGCTTGTGTCCCCATCTTCAAACCTCAAGCTGATTCTTCTTCCGCCTAAAACTGTTTCACATCCTTCTGTAGCACATAAGTACATAGATATACACATACATATATACACACATATATGTACATATATACATATATATACGTACATATATATACACATATGTACATATATATACACATATACACACCCCCACACACACCAGTATATACTGGATCAGTATCCTTGACTCGTTGCGGCTCGCAGCTTTCACCAGAACCATTCGAGGGGGTGCGAGCCTGCCCCGTTGCTGGCCCTGAGGCTGCTCTGCCCAATTCCCGTGCCTTTCCCGGCAGGATGGCTTTAAGCGGGCTGGGGGAAGCAGCTGCTCGGCACTGGGGTCACACCTGGGGGGGACAGAAGGGGGACAGCTGGCTCTGCCCTGCCGAGGAGGTGAAGCACGGGCAGCCGGGCTGTGCCAGCGCCCCGTGCTCCTCCAGGAGCCGGTACGGAGAGCTCTGAGCCGGGATCTGCCCCGGGCGGCTCCGGCGCCATCCCCGCCCCGCGGCCCCGGCCCCGCCCCGCCGGTGACACCCCCGAGCTCCCGCCCCTCGCTTCCCGCGCCCCGCCGGTGCGGCGCGGGGGGTGCGGCTCCGCTCGGCCCGGCTCGGCTCGGCTCGGCTCGGCTCGGCTCGGCTCGGCTCGGCTCGGCTCCGCTCCGCTCGGTCCAGATCGGTTCAGTTCGGCTCGGTTCATCTTAGCCCGGCTGATCTGTGCCCCGCTCGGCTCGGTTCATCTCGGCCCGTCTGATCTGTGCCCCATTCGGCTCGGCTCATCCCGGCCCGGCTGATCTCTGCCCCGCTCGGCTCGGTTCATCCCAGTTCATCCCGGTTCATCCCGGCCTGGCCCGGCCATGGTGGAGCGCTCGGACGAGGCGCCGCTGCTGTTCTGGGCCGAGGGCCCCGCCGTGTCGGCGCCGCCGCCCGCGGCCGAGCCGGGCAGCAGCAGCGGCGGCGGCAGCGGCGGAGGGGGAAGGCGGCTCGGCGGCGGCTGGAGCGCGGCTCCGTGGGACGGCGAGGGGCCGGCGGGGCCGCCGCGGGCCGAGGCGGAGGAGGACCAGATCGTGGCCGTCTTCGTGGTCACCTTCGACCCCCGCACGGGTGAGCGGCGCCGGGGGCGGGCGGGCCGGGGCGCGGGGGCCGGGCCTGGGGCTCCCGGTGCCTCTGGAGGAAGATGGATGCGGCCGGGACTGGGCGTCCCTTGGGGATGCTCCCCCCGCATCCCGCCCCGCAGGGACCGCTCCTCCCGCCGCTCTGGGGCAGCGGGGCCGGACCGGTGCAGAGCGGGAGCCGAGCTGCTCTGCCCCCGCGGGGAACCGCGGCTCCACCGCACGGCTGCCGGGGTCGGGACCGGGGACCGTGGGTGTTTGCCGAAAACGGAGCACGAGGGGATGGCTTTTGGTCTCCATCCCTCCGAGAAGAAGTTCTGGCGGGAGGAAGGCGCCGCGTCTGGTGCCGCTCCGAGGAGAAGGATGGGTGCATCTCTTCCCCGCAGCGGGTCACAGCACAGGGAGTTTGTGGACGGCGCTGGGGCATCCCCTGTGCCCCCGATTTAGGCCGAGCCTCTGCCCAGCGCTGCCTGGAGGGCACCAACCTGTTAGCAGCATCTTGAGAGCATCCTTCTGTCTCCGTGGAGTGGCGCAGACCTGCCCGCAGCTATCCGTGATGGATGGCGTTTGTGGCAGGCGTAAATCCAGCAGGCTCGCAGGGCATGATCACCAGCAGCAGCAGCGGCAGCTCAGCTGCATGTTTCTTGGTGACCAATGTGTTTAGAGGCTGGCCTCTGGTGGGATCTCTGGGACTTAGTGCTTTGAAGGAGTGCTGCAATCCAGAGGAGAGGGGCAAGGGAGTGTATTTTCTACTTCTCACTGCTATATCCATCTCTCTCAGTGCTGTTGGACTGTGGTGTTGTATCACTATTGACAAAGGTTATTAATTTCAAACCTGTAAATCAGCATTTCGGAAAATGTCTTAAATTTGTTTTCCGATCCTGCTGCTCCCACAGTATCCACAAAACAGGATGTTAGGACACAGGTATGAAATTAGCACCTGCTTTGCACCTGTGAACACAGGTACTGCTCTGCAGAGGGGCCTGATGTCCTGAGACACATTGTTGGGTCTTTCGGCCGCCAGACATCAACCTGGGGTTCAAAGGCAAGAGAGGGAGATTCAGAAGCCCATTTGCATCCAGATGTGAGACTGAGCTTCTCTTTCTTCTCTAGACTGGCACTGCCTTAGCCAATGCACAGCAAAAGTACAAGAGACAGGAAAGAGGTCTCTAAAGCATGGTGAGGTTGGCTCTTCAGTGGCAGGGGCAAGTACCTGACATCATGCTCACAAGAGAGACTTAGTGAAGAATAAATGCCAGCCTTGAACTGAAAATCCTAAGGAAGCATTGAACAGGACGTAGCTGCTGGTGTGATGTGCTGTCAGCAATGCCACTGTCAGACAGCATGGCTGCTGTGTCCCAAAACACCCAAGGGTTTTGAGAAGTTACCCTTTCATACTGCACCAGAGAGGTGTCTTCAGTCTAGAGGTCAGAGGCTCTTCACTCTTGAAAATCTGAAATGAGATTGGATGTCATCTTTCCACCAGGAGACACTTAGGTGTTTGTCCTAAGTATCCAAAACATGAAAGAGTCTGGATGACTGCAGCAACACCAGGTTGTCTTTCGATCTGACAGCATATGCCTTCTATGAAATAGTGAGATTTTCTTGAGAGTTGGCAGAAAGCTGAGCTTTCTCAGGAGTTTTTCTGAACCAGCTGTTGCTTTGAATGAAGTCCAGAGAAAGTTGGGCAACAGCTCTTCTCACATCTGATGTGCAGTTAATGCTGGGTGTCACCAGCCTTGGAGTAGTCTGTCAAGTCCAGGAAGATTCTGCCTCCTGCTGCTACCCAGCATGGATGATAGAACTGTGAGCAATACACCAGCAAATGTCAGCTTTACAGCTGAGAGCAAAGTGCCCTACTGAGGGTGTGGATTTAGAAAAAGATCATGAAGTTGCAGTGGTGTGAACTTGCTAGGGTCAAAAAGAGAATATGGGAAATAATGGTCAGCCACATCAGATAGTGTGAAGGACTTCTGTAATGTTTTTATTGCGTATGACTTCAAGGAAATCATCCAGTTAGTGTCTGAGCAGGAAACCTGCATGATCCTGCCCAGGAAAAGCACAGCAGAGCACCTCTGGCAGCTTGCTGAGGCACAGGAACAGCCCAATTTCTGGTAGTGGCTGTGCAGGTGGTTATGCCAGGTAGTGTCTGCTCAACTACAGACAAGTAGGTGTGCAAGAGAGGTTTTACTGTAGAAGCATGAAGTGGTGACCATGCTAATAAAGAATGTAACAGTTTCCCTCCTAAATTTAGAAGGGCTTGAAGCAGACGGGCTGAGTGTATAGCAGTTGCATGTGATGAGTTTCCAAAGGTAGGTTATGGGGTTGCCAGGTCACTGTCACAGTTCTGGTGTCCCTGTGACTGTCAATTCATGTGAATAACTGATGTAAGAGCCAGAGGCAGCTTCTGAATCGGTGCTGGCCTCACCTGCAGCATGGTGAACCTTGTGGCACTTGAGAAGGAGCTCTCTTCACTGCTGCTGTGGGGCAGCTGATAACAATCACCTTTGTGGAGGTTCCACACAGTCTGTTTAGCTGAAAGAGTCTGTAAGTAATGGAGAGAGACAAGGAGGGAAGAGAGAGAAGTAATGTGTTTTGCACCAGTGAACATGCAAATACTCTTGTTTTTCTGTCCCACATTTCTTCCATGCAGGAAATGGAGTGAGTGTGATGTTTAGGTTGCACTTTATGCTTCTCCTGTCCTGGCACAACATGGTAGCATTGCACAGCTGGGGACCCTAAAGGCCTTGGGAAACAGTGAGGAGGGCCAGGTGATGACCCCCAAATGCTGGTGCCAATATCTTGTTTGTGAGGATGTGAAAGTCCAGTGGAAAGAAACTACAAGAGAAGGAGGAAGAACATCCCTAACTTTGCACACTAGAAAAAGAGTGCTGGCTCAGGCCTGATCTGAAGATGGGAGACAGCTTCCAGGAGATCAGATCTGCAGATCAGACTCTCAGCAAAATCACTAGCCTGCTCTCTAATGCTGGGTGACTCTCACTTGGAAAGTTTCCTGTATGCATGAGAGCTGCTTTCTCCACGGGGAAGGGCAATGCTTCCTGTTTTTGTACAGCACTGCTCCCTCCTCCCTCCTCTGGTTTCTCGGTCAGGCTGGCAGTCGTATCACATCTGGGTGAAGTCTCTCCTTTGTTTGCTCTCCTGTTTCACCAGACTGACTTTCCTACTTTTTAATCTCCGCGTTTGTTCTCCGACTGCCACGTCGCTCATGTGCTCATAGGGCACGGTGGCGTGAGGAACAGCCAGGAGCACAGGTGCAGGTTGCTCCTGACAGATCTCAGGAAAAAAAAAAAAAAAGCTACATGATAGGTGAGCTGGTTTTGAGGTCACATGCAGGGTAAAGATCAAGGCATCCTTTCCTTATTGCTGTTACAGAACAGGCATTGCTGAGCCATGTCTACCTCAACACCACCTGACAGTGTTTGTGACTAAACTGAGCAAAGCCAATCTTCCTTTGCTCTTGATGCCACCCTTGCCTCTCTATCTGTTAATCTACAGCTGATGACCAATAAGGGATTCGCTGTGGGGCAAGCCTTAAAAGCACATCTGGCCTTAATCACAATTTCGTGGTTATGAAGCAACAGTCTCAAGAGTTGACTTCCTCATGCTTTCAAGGAAGGGTCTTGCACCTTTAAAAGGCGAACCAAACAGGCACACAGAAACCCCAAACAACAAAGCCACCATCTCTATATAATCTGCCAGCTCTCCAGGGGAGTGTGCAGGCTGCTATGATGTCAGTGGCTCTCTCTGCCAGCCTTTCACACGCCTCAGAGGCCAAGGCACTGCACACAGAGCTCTGTGGTTTTGTGTGTGACTGCACAGGGCTGTGCTGGGGTCACGAGGCTGCTGCTGCTGCTCCCTGGCCAGCCCTGCTCTGCAGGAGAGCTCTGCTTGTGCACTGCAAGTGGGCAGTTGCATGCACAGCTTCTCCTGTTGCCATGCCTAATGCTGTTGGTTTTTTTGAAGTCCTTGCCAGGCAGGGCTGGGGGAGGTCTACTGAATACAGCATCTATGTGAGAAGAAAAATAGCCTATTTAAATGTCAGTAGCTAAGCCCTATTCCTGTGCAGGCATATACTTGAGCAGTATGAGTAATGAGACAAAAGACAGGCTTCAGAAATGAGGCCTCAGATTTAAATATCTCCAAGAATCTTGGCTGAGTGTAAGGCCCTTCCAAATGTACACTGTCCACACAAGCACAGCTGGAATACTCACCCCAAAGGGCAGGGAAAGGAGTGAACTGGTAGGAAGCATCTTTGTGCTGCATCTGCCATTCCATTATCCTGAAGAATTTTGGTTTGTTTGCCTTGTTTTTAAAACTAAGTGTTTAAAACTTCAAATGCTGTGGGCAGACTGACAGAACAGAAAGTCAGTGGGTAAATCTGGAGCACATCTCATCATCAGTGCAGTGGGAATGTCCAGGTGAGCAGGTTGGGCTCTGAACTGCTGGCATGGGAAAGTGTGAGAAGTCACCCCTTTTTTGGTCCATGGTAAACCTGTTGGACTTCATTTGCTTTAGGGACATTTTATGACTTCTCTGATACCATCTGTTCCAGGATCAGGCTCCTCAGGTGGCCTTTTCCCCTGAACAACTGCATGCTTTCTGGCTGGGTTGGGAGGTAGACAGATGTTTGCTGATCTTGATCTAGCTTGTAATTTATGTCCTTTTTTGTTGGTTATTCTAGCATACACAAACACATTGCAGTGCTTGGATCACCTCAGCCTCCATATAAAGCTTCAGCTAACTCCTCCTACCCTAAAGAAAACAATAGAGATTTCAGGGAAGAAGTGATGACTTGGATGATGCCTTAGGGGTTTGTGTTTGACCAGACCTGTCAAAGGCAAAGAATAATAGTGGTGGTGTGAACTATCCCAGAAACTCATCCTAAAGAGCAACAGTCTGTCCTTTGGTTCTTTCTGTATAGGATAGATACTTGTGTAGACCAAAGCTGATCCACCATCAGGTAAAATCATAGCTGCTCTGTGATTAACCTTATCAAGGATAAACCCATAAAATAGCATTAGCTTCAGAAGTGGCTCCAAATGTCCTGCAGTGTCTGCATGTTGTGCTACAACAAGTAACATTTGCAAGAGATGTGTGGCATATTGTATGTCACCTACTGTCTGTGACAGTTTAGGAGTTCAGGAGTTGTGTTAGGGCACTGCTACAGGTATCCCAGGGTTAGAAAAGCAACAACTTGCTGTTGATGATATATGCATTTCACTGTATCCAAGCTTACCCAAATTAATTTGCTTCTCTGCAGGCAACATGGTGGAATGGTGTTTACCCCAAGATATAGATTTGGAAGGTGTGGAATTCAAATCCATGGCAAGCGGGTCCCACAAAATCCAGTCAGATTTCATGTGAGTACATCTGAGCTGTATTACTTTTTCCTTTCTTAATTGGACATCTACACCATCAGCTATTAATTCAGAACATGCAAGAAAAATGCCACCTAGGAAGCTAGGCTGCTGCAGAAACCTGCTTGCTAAACTGTTTCTACCTGAGCCAAAGATATTTTTCAGACACTTCCAGTATCATATTAAATACAGGGATCTGCTGTATGTCTGCTTTGCCTGTGGAAGCCAACTGGGGCAGGCCAGCTTCTTACTGGTGTGCAAATTTTAATTTTACTGGGCAAATCATCTGCACTGCCACTATTGAGACTGTCAGCAGAGGCCTAGGGTGAAGAGCAAGCAATGGCAGAAGTGAAATGGGAAGGATTTTGCAGGAACAGGACTTAGAAAAATGTTCTTAACTCTGCCAGGGCTTTTGGTTCCTTTAAATGTTGTTACAAACAGGTCTCACTCACTTTTTTCTTTGCTAGCTCCTTCAGTGGAAACACCTAAGAGGAATTTTCTGCATTCTGCTAACCCGATGTTGCAATGCAGCAATATTTTGCAATGAACTGCAGTGTCACAGTTCCTTTGGGTCAGGAATAGCAGTTACTTTCTTAAAGGCATGTGAATTGAACCCTTACAGTCTGATAATCAGAGTGTGCTTCAAGGTGCTGGCACACCCAAAATATGACCAGGTAGCTGTACTGTACTCAGAACTGCATTCACTGCAGGCTTCTTCCTTGCAGGAAGGGCTCTACACTGACTGAATCACTCATTCTGTTGGTCTTCCTTCCAAGTTATTTATTTATTTGCATTCCTTACCAGTCTGTGACTTGGCTTTAGTGGAACTCCTGGGAACTCTTGCCTTAAATATTTTGTCTAGCTACTGAGAAGACTGGGGCACCCAAGGCCTGTCCTCAGCACTTCAGCTAGCAGGGTGGGATTTCAGGCAGTTCGTTACAGAAGAAAATATGTTCCCAAATCAGTAATTTTAGCACTCGGTTACCTTTTTTTTTTCTTCTTTTTAACGTTAACCCTTGTGTCAAACCTTTGTCCCCAGTTATTTCCGGAAAGGGCTTTGTTTTGGCCTGGCCTGCTTTGCCAACATGCCCGTGGAGAGTGAGTTGGAGCGTGGGGCCCGCATGAAGTCCGTGGGCATCCTCTCCCCTTCCTACACGCTGCTGTATAGGTACATGCACTTCCTGGAGAACCAGGTCAGGTAAGTTCCCCTGGGAATGAGCCTGGCCATTCCCATCCTGGGAGAGGTAATGTTCCTTCTATGGAGAGCAGTTTTAGGCAAGTGAGAATTCAGTGACAATGCTCTGCTGTGATTTCCTTGACTGGCTATTTCTCCAGAAAGTATTACAGGTTCACAGTGTGAAGGAGTCAAGGAACTAATTAGCAGCAGTCTGTTCCTTCCTAACAGGCTAGTCAAATGCTACCCAAACCCTAGTTATTGTAGGCAGACATAAATGTCACAGGGAGAGTTGAGAGAACAAGAAGTTCCCTTTTTGCCTTCTGAAAACCATTTTACTAAGGGCTTACAAAAGGCTTCTCATCATGTAATGGTGATCCTGGCTAGCTATGTGCTTCAGTTGTGTTGAGTGGATCCAGCAGTGAAAATGGTGATGGTAGCAAAGACAACTGATTTAAAACAGGACCAGTCCTATGCACACCCCAACTCGTTGCCTGTGTCAGTCCTGTGCATGTTCTCTGGCTGCACTGAGAGCTGGTAGTCCTGATGGTTCTTCAGCCCCCCTTGATGAGTTTGTGCAACTGAAGCACACAGGATCCCTTTTAGCTGGGAGAGCAGATGTTTGTTGGGGGCAAGGCACTAAACAAATAGTCTGGAGACACTTCAGATCTCCCCTTTTCTCCTTTCTTTTCCAGACACCAGCTGGAGATGCCAGGGCACTACTCCCATCTAGAGGCATTCTATGATGACAAGAAAGGAGTTCTCCCGGATAGCAAGGGCACCCCAAGCTCTCAGCAACCTGTCCACTGGCTGCCTTCCATCCACAGATACATGTACCCAGAGATGAAGGTGAGGCAGGTGCCTGAGGCCTGCAGGAATGGGCAGAGGGTGCTGCTCCTTGCTGGTGCCTCATACTCCTTTATGTAAGCAGTCACTCCTGCTCTTTGTAGGCTGCTTTAGATAAGATTTTGTTTCTTGGATCGTTACAAGCTGTGTGCTGGTCTTGCTCCCACATTTAGACTTAGCATCTGTGCATGTGTCCCTGATTCACCTCTGAGCTGTTTTCTTCCCTTTCTCTCCACCTGCAGATCACACACCCTGCTGGCTGCATGTCTCAGTTCATCAAATTCTTCGGTGAGCAGATCCTCGTCCTCTGGAAGTTTGCCCTGCTGCGCAAGCGCATCCTGATATTTTCACCACCCCCAGTTGGAGTTGTCTGCTATAGAGGTATGTTTCCAGGGACACTGCAGAGCTCTGATCCAGTAGGCTGAAGCATTGCAGAAATGCCTGTGAGTACTGAGGGGACAGACGTCATGCAAGTCTTCAAAATCCATTGTGACCATTCAGTCTGCATTTACACGTTTCCTACCAAATGCTTTTCTTCAGGCTTTGTGAGTAAAGACACATCTGGCACTGTCAAACTCAGTTCCTGTCAGCACAGGACTGTAAGAGCACTGACTGGATTCTAGAATGTGGGATTCCTGTGAGAGAACTGATTATTTATACAAAACAGGATGTTATCACTTGAGAAGTTGAAGTTCTGGTGTTCAAGGGCATTTCAGAGCTCTGACCATTGTTTTCATAGAGGCCTGTGGGAGAACTGGGGAAGTGGGGTTCAGAGCGCCCTTGAGGGAAACCAAAAGCATCTCAGGGTGTACTTCTCTTGTCCACAGTGTATTGCTGCTGTTGCCTTGCAAATGTTTCTCTGCCTGGTCTTGGAGGAACTGTCCCAGAGTCCAAACCATTCTTCTATGTGAATGTGGCAGACATAGAAATGCTGGAGACAGAAGTATCATATGTGGCCTGTAAGTATGATGGATTAGGCATGATTGTTTTTAGCTTCAGGCTGCAAAATGTCTTTAGACACTAGACTCTGGAATAGAACTGATGAGAAATGGGTTGTGCATGGAATGACTAACTATGCAAGCAGGAGAGAACAGTTGGTCTGCTGGGAAAGCAACATGCTGCTCTGAAAATCTTCTCTGATTTTGGCAGGTACAACAGAAAAGATCTTCGAGCAGAAACGGGATCTCTATGATGTCTATGTGGACAACCAGAATGTGAAGACACATCATGAACATCTGCAGCCACTCCTGAAAATTAACAGTGCTGACAAGGAGAAGTACAGACGGCTCAATGACCAAAGGTAATCACAGACATCTGGGTGGTCCTGATAGGAGATGTGGAATAAAGAGGACACTGCTCCTTTGTGCTTTCCTCCTTGTAGTATTTTCAAAATATCCCAATGGTTCAGCTCATCTCTTGAAGATTCTGGTTGTCTCATAAAGCTTTCAAGTTCACAGTAGGTATGTGCAATTAACCTGTCTCCCTTCTCTCAGGCAGATGTTAATGTATTCTCAAGAAGTGGGTGAGGATTGCAGCTCCTGTGAAGAGGACCTTTTCATCTTGTGAGTGGCTACCTCTAATACTTAGCTGGACACTGCTAGTTTTAGGGAGCCTCTTGCACTGTTCTTGTGTTGCACTGTTTGGCGTATTGTGAAACAGCATGTTTGACATAATTCCATAGTCAGCTTTCTTCCTCTAGGGTTCCAAAAACAGACTGGCTCTTCCTCTTCAGATAATCTTCCTTTCATTTTGAGAAGCCAAAATGTAGTATCCACTGGGGTTGCTTATGTGCTGGGACAGAGAAGTGAATTTTAAAAACACAGAGATGTAAGAATGCCCTTGCAAACATAAGCACTACAGGATTTTTCTTGCCAGAACATTTGGCTCTGGAAGGGATGATGTCTGTGGGAAGCAGGCACTGTACCATGCTGGGGGTTGGTATAGTGTAGAGGTAAGACCTGAATGTGAAGGACTGGCCCACTGATGTAGCTGACTTCATACCTGGCAAGCAGAGGAACCAGAACTGGGTATAGAGTAGGAGGTGCAGAATTAGATAAAAACCACGTGTCTAGCACCTCTGAAACCCTTCAGTGCCTGTTGCTATTCACACTGCAGCAGGTGAGAAGTGATGGGATGAAATTGTGTGAAGGGCTGTGGGGGCAGAGCTCTGATTGTTGAGCTCACAGGTGTAGCCAGAGCTCTTTCTGAGTGGCTTTGTGTGTTTCCAGGAAAGCAACAGGTAAGAACTAGCTCTCACTGATGTGTTCTGCACCAGTAAGGGAGAATTTATTTACCCATTGGCTTATCAGAGGGGTGACAGCACTGCTTCCTCCTTTAGTTATGGGAACTATAGGTGTGATATGCCTGCTTGGTAACTACTGAACACACTTTAGCTGATAATGTGGCTTCTTCTGAGGGGAATCCACCCGCAGATGGGAGCACTGCTGTCAATTCAAAGTGACTGCTTTATATCTTTGTTTATTCTGGGTCACCCATAGTAGAGTGAATGGAAAAGTACTGCAGCACCACCTAACAAGGTGGGATCTCTGGCTAAAGGGGCTTAAATGCAACTCTAAAGGGGCTTCAATGCAGCTCCAAAGGGGGTTAAATGCAATTCTAAAGGGGGTTAAATGCAGCTCTGGGGCTCTGCTGTCTGTTTGGTAAACACACTATCTTTTAGGAGGTCCAATGTGATCACTTTTGCTGACTTCACCCCATAGGTTTTTCATGGAGCAGAACAACCGCATCTTCCAGACGCTGATGGAGGTGTCAGCCAGCCAGGACAAGACACTGACAGCTGACCACGCACGAGGCATGGGCCTGGACCCCCAAGGGGATCGAAGTTTCCTTATGGACCTCCTGGAAGTGTATGGCATTGATGTTATGCTAGTCATTGACAACCCCTGCTGCACTTAAACCAAGAGCAAGAGAGATGGGGAGCAAAGATCACTTTTTAAAGACTACCAGACATTGCTTAAGGAGGATCACTGGAACTCACCACAGCCACAGTTATTTAATAACTTTATATGGAGAGTATTTATAATTTTAAAACAAGATGTGATTTTATTTTCTCACACTCAACTTCCCAGTGAGTACCTGCTCTAGGGTTCCTTTTGATTTTGTCTCCCTTTCCCTTTCATTTGTGTTTTTTTGTTTTGCCTAGCTAGGACCAGTGGCACCTTTGCACCAAACCTCACTGTTGCCAGTGATAGCTAGGTTTTGGCCTAGCCTGGATACCTGAGGGCTGAAGACTTCAGGAAAGCACTTTGTTTGATGACAACCAATGTGAAATGCTACAGCTGAGCTTTCAGACTTGGTGGAAAATCCTCCTATCAACTCCCCCTTCCACTTGGGGACTGAAGAGGGCTTCAGCACAAGCTGTTAATGGCCCAGTCTCATAAAGAGCTCCTACCAAGTTTATTGGTGGGGACAGCTAAACCAATGATAAGAACCAGGACTCCTTTAAACACTCCTCACCCAACTTTAAGGTGAACTGGAGTAAAGCCACCTTTCCTTGTAAATGGCCGAAGCAGTTTGGGATCGGGGACGCTACAGGACCTTATGACTTTGTTTACTGGAGCAGCGCGGTTTCACTTCCAGCATCTGAGGTGGTCTGAACTGGCAGAGACTGCACCTAAACTGCACCTAAACTGCACCTACCTATCTCACAGCTGGAGAAGAGCACCCCCTCTCCTCAATCCATCCCACCACCTCTTTTGGTTTTTAGTTGCATCACACCTGCTGCTTCGGTTTAAAATCTTCAAACCAGCAAGATGGTCTCCCATTTAACAGGGACCAACACCACTGAGCCACTTTGCAGTCACTTTGTTCTCCAGCCTCAGCTGGATGGTGCTGGGCTGGAGGGGGTAGAATAAGTATGCTTTAACTAATGTCACTAGCCCTTCCTTTGTAGATGATGGGACTTGTTGCTCCTTTGCTTTAACACTAATTGTCTGCTAATCCTCCTTTTATTGAGCCTTCAGCACTGCCTACTGCTATCCCTGGCTTTCGGTGTGAGACAGAGAACAGACCTTCCAGCTGGAACAACTCAAGTTTGCAGGAGGTTCCCTTGGAGTTTAGTATTCCTAACTGGCCCAGCTGTTGGGAACAATGTTTAAAACCAAGTCTGTCTTTTTTCCTGGGCAGAGCTGTAGAACCAGACGAAACAGATGTTTTCTTATGCTGTGGAAAGAATAGGATTCAGTTCCTGAAGGACTAGTCATTACCTCCAGGAAGGTTATCCCAGTAAAGAGCAATCCCTTTGCCATGCAAAATCCAAGAATGGTACTGTGGGTTTTAGGTGTGGTATACAGCTTTGCCCTAAATCCTTCAGCCAGTAGCAATATCAGCTTTAAGCTGACTGTTCTTCCTGAACTGTGGCCATAGCTGATTAGTTGCTGCCTCTGTTGTTACAGATTTCAGCACCTTTGGAGGCTTTCTCTGTGTTGTAGGAATGCAAACTGTAGCTGATGTATGCACTTGTCCTAGCATTTTATAGGATGAGACAGCCTGAACCACTGAGATCTCACTCACTCTAAAGCAGGCCAGCACTTTTTTGAAACAGGTGAAGCAAATGTTCTCCAAGGATACCCTCTGTGGATTGTCTCCCTCTGGAAAGGAGGAGGCAATTGTTCCTGCAATTTGCCTGTCCCTGAGCACTCACTCCCCTGCTTTTTCAAGGCTTTGGATGTTTTTGTACAGAAGAAAATCTGCTGTTCTTCACACTGCCAATTTCTCACAACAACTGTAACATCATCATCCTTAGAAGGTTGGGGGGAAAAAATGGTAAAAACAGCTGAGTATCATTTAATGGAAAGACCAGTCTCCCTTAAGAAATGGCTTTGTTTTTAAATTGACACCTGAAGTGTAAAAATGGCCCATGACTTGCATACTTTTTTTCTCTTACTTCCACTTGTTTTAACATTCTGTATGCAGTGACGATTCCTGAGGAAGTACAGCTGAGCTGCCCTTGTATTGCTGTCGCTTCTTCAGACATCAAAAAAGAAAAAAACTGAACTGAAACTAGTCTCTAGCAATTTCTCCCCTGGCTTTCTTGAAGGTTTGTTACATAGTTTAGCTGTGGTCAGTTGTTAATGACTTTCTATTCTCTTCATCAGTAGTTCTTTTGCTAAACTAAACAGAAACAAACCTTTGATTTAATGTTGAAATTTAAAGTCATTGCAGTCAGAGGCTTTCTAACACCCTGCATTAGAACACTGCTGTTTACAAGCTGTTGGAACATGAGGTCCAGTAGACAGCACTGCCAGAGCCCACAGAGCAGAAGCTCCTGAAACTCCTGACATTTATTAAACCTCTGCTTTGCAGAAATTAGGTCTTCAGTTGTTAGCAGCAGTATGGGTGCAGAAGCACCAAAGCAAACAGATTACTTTAGTAGCATCCATGTGCTACATCCAGTTGGAATGGCTGCAGCCTATTTTGTTCTTCCTTGTTATTTTGTGCTTCCTTGTAATTTTGCTTCTCTACCAAGTCTCTCTTGGCAGGCAACTGCTACAATAGTCAGGAAGTTGTCCAGCAGAAAACAGAACAAGACTTTTATGTCCTAACCCTTCCTTATTTGAATAGCTGCAAAAGTGCTTTCACCTGCACTCCTTTTCTGAAAGACACTGCTTTATGTTTGTCACATGTGCAAAGTTCTTGAGAAATGGGTAATGGGTACATAATAGAAACAAATTGTTATAGCTTGGGACATGAAGGACTGTTATGTGGAACCAGTTTAACTGAGTCTTATCTTTCCAGAAAATAACATAATTCAAGATAAAACAGTTACACACAGATATTCAAAATCCCCTCCTGGGCACTCGGTGCTTTGTTGCATACTAGCAGCTGGAAGACATCTACTGTGTGTGTTTTCAATCAAGAGAGGGAGGAAAGTGTGGCATAAGATAGGATATTGGTGATTTCTCCCTTTGAATACTTTGCCTTTACAGTGGTGCCTTCAGTTTCTTGGGTGTAATGTGTCTGGTCAGTTGCTGTGATCAGAGCCCACTTTGAATGGTGGTTACAGTAACCAGGTCTGTGCTGTGCCCCAGTGTGTTCTCCAAATCTCAAGTCATTGGATAGCCAGTGCAGGTTCTCAGCTGGTACTTGCTTGACTTTAACCAGGAGAACAAGAGCTTCCTAACTGCATCTTAACTCAAACTGCACTAGAAATGTATAATCAAGCAATGAATTATTACTACTTGTACTATCTGCATTGAAGGGTAAAGCTTATGAGAGACATAAAAGCTAGGTTTTCAATCTGAACAAGCAACACTATGCCAGATATTTAAATCATCCAAAAGTCTTCTCACTGCAAGGTTAGGCCAAGCTGCACAGAGCCAAGTACAATAAAGAACTATAATGCATACTAGAAGAAAGGCACTTTATGGAATCAGAATTCAGATTTGTCTTACAGACATGCTACTACCTTCTTTTCCAGTATACATGAGGTACTTACTGCAGTGTATCTTACAGCCAATGGTCATGACTGTCTCAGGAGCTGTGCTTGCCTGTCCACCATTCTTTTGGGCAGAAGAAAATTCCATCACCTTTTCAAGAGGAAGTAGTTCCCTGTACAGTTATTCAGTAAAGTAGAGATATAGTGATAGCCCATTTTAATATCTGTCAAAGTTAATGAGCAAAAGGCTGGCAGTAGCTGTGGCCTTCCTGGCCACAGACTATGCAAGGGACAGGCATGCTTCCCTCTGGGAGGTGGAAAGACAGTGGCTCCTGGAATAGCAGGGCAAGAGCACTCTATCCTAAAGCAAAATTCTAGGTACAAAGCATGCACCCTAACCCAAACTCTCATCTTAGCCATTCTAAGTTAGTTGCTGTCTTTTTCCCACCTTCTCAACACCAGTGGTGTAGTAATTATGGGAAAAGACAACATAAATGTCTTACAAGGGACTGGAATGTACTGACTTAACAGTGTGATCTGTCTAAAATAGAGGGTACTAAATGCCTCTGAACCAGGATTTTAGATCTTGGTTAATGCAACATGCCATTCAAATGGGAATGTTTAAATGTGGTCAAAATAAACAGGTGCCTTGAGCTGGTCCATCATTACATTGTTATCCTTTTTATTTATGTTACAGTATTTTAAACCCTTCTAGAATGGACTGTAAGTTGAAGCCAGGATAAGTGTTTTCATGAGTGGGACCTAGGATTCTACTCCTCCTTCCTGTCTTGGAGTTTGTACAAAGGAAGTTTCTTGTGTTGCTGTCAGACAGAAACATAAGAACTGAGTCCTTTCCTTAAACACTGGAGATCGTGGGTTCAGCCCCTACCTATTTTATGTAGTGTCTATCTCACACCTCCCCCCTGAATGTTGCAATTCAGAGGTCTAGAATTACCCTGCACTGGAAAAACTCTGAACTAAGATGAAAGAGAAAAATTACTTGAACGGTATTTATACAAGCTAACTTATGCTGATAAGAATATTTAAATACCAGCCTGTGTCTCACATGATCCTTGACACTTTAACATCAGAACAGCATCAGCAATACCAATTCTGAAAGGATCTCTTGGTTACCCTCAAGCAAGGAATCACATTGCAATGGGAGTTATGGGAGAGAATCAGTGATTTTCCCTGTATAATGGTACAGATGAACCCCTTGCAGCAGGCTGGGTGTAATTCTAACAGCTCTGATGTTGTTTCCATCTTGCAGATGTGTGGTTGCTCCCATAGGCCTGTGGCTCTGTAGAGAAACTGCTTACTAAAAACATGGGTATTTTTTAATACAATTAAAGCTTACCTTTTTGAAATGGCTGCTGCCTTGTCTTTCCTGCCACTGGAGAAAAAACACATTGCTGATTTTATTACAGAAACATCAACTTGAGGAAAAACTCCAGTGGTGAGAACTGCCCTTTACTCTGAATGAGCCAGGGGCTGCAGAGCAATGTCCCAGGTGTCTCTGTGGCAAGCAAAAAGAGCAAAGCACAACCACCATGTCCCTTGGAGAGTGACCCAGGGCTCCACTGGGCACTCTCCATTACTGCAAACCAAAAGACAGCACAAACCAGGTCCTATCACCAGCATAACTGTGAAAGGGAACTAGCAGGCTTCTACCCCCTTCAGTCTCAGTCAAGAGTTACAGAACAGCTAGGGTTGGAAGGGACTTTAAAGATCACCTCGTTTAGGTAATTTGTCTCTCCACAGTGTAGTCCAGGGAAGAAGAACATGGAGTTTGGTTTCAGCATCATGCAGAAACCCAATCCTGATTCCCCTTTCGAGGCATTTTTTTCCTTTAAGATTCTCCAGCAGAGGATGCTGTTGGAGCACAGCCTGCCAGGATTCAGCCCTTGACAGAGCTGCTGGAAGCCAACTCACTTATGTCTGTATTTTGATAACAGCAGAGAGTCAACAAGTGAACTTAGACTAGACCACAGCGTAACACATTGGCTACAAACAATCACACCAGAAAAATAAAGACATTTTTCTTTCTTCCAGTAAGCAAGGCAGAATCATGTGAATTTCTAAGTTACAATAAGGGCAACAGATAAGCTTGCCTAAATCAGCAATACTTCCTTTCAGCAATTAAAGCTATAAACAAAAGCTCATAAAAGCAACAAAACTAATTACGGCGCTGAGGCTCAAGGGGATGGAGGTTGCATATGGAGTGGTGAGCACTGTTTACATTAGAGAAGAGCAATCAGACACAATAAATAATAAATGTTATTTGGATGTCCTTACTGGTGTTATACTACTGCAGGAATAAAAGGAATACTTAAAAAAAAGACTCACTCAGCTTGTTAAAGAGTCTTTCCAAGTGTACTTCATACAGCTTGCAGTCAATGATGTTTTCCAATTTGCTTCTGTGCAATATACCTAAACTGATCAAAGGAATACATTTCTACTATACAATTACTGGAGCTCTGTGCTGTTGAATCTGGCAAGATGAAAACAATTAACATAAATACCTTAGCCAGCTACATATGGGGTATTTTTAAACTTGCTTTCAAGCTTTGTATCACCAGTCTCCAGTCTATTTTGTGACAGAGTAGATAACCAACCACCTATTTTAATATTGGCAATTCCAATGTTTCATAGAATTCCTTAGCATTACACCCCCCAAATATTTTTTTCCAGGATCCCAGTTTTTGCAAGATTTTTACATGGGTAAAGTAAACCTAAACTCTCAGAACACAAGGACAAGTATACTTAAATTTTAATTTCATATACAATTGCATTACAGCAGTAGCATCTGGTACACAGCACTCACCCTGTAGTGCTGTAAATGGAACAATGACAACTTCTTAGGGGAGGGGGGGAGAAAAGATGCCATCAAGTTAACATGTATTTTTCAGAATTTTCATTTGCATTTTTAACCCCTTTAAGACCAGTCAAATCATACACTTCCAATGGAAGTACCTCGCACATTAAAATAGCCAAAAAGCTTATTAGTCTAGTGGGGTTAATTGAGTTAGTTAGGTCTCATGTGCCTTGAATAGACCCTGGTGAGGCTGCTGGGCTTTGCCCCTCTGCCACGAATTCTTGCTGTACTGCTGCCTGCAGCATCTGCTCTCTCATTCTGGGATCACAGAAGAACCGGAGCTTGCGGGGTAGGAGCTTCACCTCCACAGGCATAGCTTCATACTCCTCGTTATCAATGCCAAAGGATCCCTCAGTGCCCTGGGTGCACATAACAGTTAAACATCAAACATGAGTTCAGCAAGGCTGTAATGCCGATTTTACAAATAAAATACAGTTGCATACTTAGCTCAGTCTCGACCAAGATGAACCCCTGCCTCTGCCTTCCAGCCCATTTGCTCTCCACAACACAGGGAGACCTATTCTTCACTGCACAGAATGTATTAAGAATCTGGTGCATAAGATGTTACCTCACTTAGTTACTAATTAGTGGTAATTAAACACTGGGAAGCTCTAATGACCCACATTGTTTATACTGAAGGATTATTTGCTATTGGAACTACAATTATGTGCACTTAGATCTTGGGTCTGCCAGTGGTGACATAAACTAATCTGCAGAAATTCCTGTTAAGTAACTTCTATTAAACCCATGTTACAAACTCCTTTCAGCATTGTTTTACTATATTGATCTGAAACATGAGATGCAAAGTAATTTACTGGCCAGGAATTACTCAGCAGTAGAATTTTCTCAAGTGTTTAATGCTGATAAA